AGATGCAACACAACCAACACTTGAGTCAAAAATATCACAGAAAAACTTCCGTTTCTTCACTTTATAAAATGCTTCTTGTTTCCACCATCCGATTCTCCTCTCCTTCAGTGCTCCTCAAATAGTGAATTGAGACAGAAGAGAGAAGCTTTAGTTGACTGTAAATGGAAAAAAAAGCTGTACAAATACAAAAAGCATTTAGATCTTTCACAAATGGTTACAAGTTATAGTAGAAGCAAAGGAAATCAGTAATGAAGCAGACAAAATGTAATGAAGCAATAGTTTTAAGTCACTAGTCCCAAGACCAAATCTTCTGCACTCAATGTAACAGATAAATTTTTTTTGCCACAGGCTGGAGTTGTTGGTAATGTTACAAAGTGGTTCTGTGTTTGTTATTAAACCACTGAATAAATACCTCATTCTACACAGCATTCAGTGTTCTTTAAATTTTAAATATAGTCTTACATATTTGTGGTACTGAGGCATCTGCAGAGTTGCAATAAAATCAGTGGAACTGATAGATAAGTAAGGAATCATTTGCTTGCCATGCTCAGAAGTATCAGAAAATGGCTGAGAAACAATCCATGCTAAATAAAAGGTTTCTTTCCCAGAGACTTTAACATAGCTTGGAAAAATCTTTGTTCATTATTACTAATAGAGAAGAAAGTCACAAAGGCCTGGTAGAAACAAATTGAAAAGTATTTGGCTTCTCTCCTCTGCCTTTCATGCCAGCACCATCTACAAGGCTGTCTCTATAAAATTTCCAGCTACTTTTGCTAGCAGCAGAGATGCTCAGCGTGAAGCTTATCCACATCAAACAGCCTCCTCCAGAGCTTACCAGTCACTCATTTTAATGTGTTTCTGTCTTTCTAATCAGCTTGGTCAATCTCTGGGTTATTTGCATCTCACATGTATATCTACACATTATACTGCTAGTGGTTTATTGAATTTATGAAATTTCTTTACCCTGGTGGACCAGCCAATGAGTTTTCTACTGATAATTTAACTGTGGTAAGAAAGCTTCATCCATCATTTCCTTATTTATCTCTGGAAGCGAAAGCCATAGTCACAGAGTCTTGGGAAAAAAAAAAGGGTTTGTGACCTGACCCCGTGCCTTCAATGAAAACTAATAATGAATTGATAATAACAGGATTTTTCTTAGGAGTATGAGACCTGTCAAAGCATGGTCTGGAAAGAAAGTTCCATTAAATAGCTTGGCAATGATGCAATGTTGGTTGACCTGATTATTCCTCCTTCAGGAGTTATAAATCAATAGCACGTGCCCAGATTCATGAAAAAAGTTAAAATCTCTTTAAAAAATAATGAAAAATATCTTTAAAAATAATGAAAAAATAATTAAATATTATTCAAAGGATTTTTGTTATGTGTTTTCATACATTATTTAATGATTTGATTTATATTAATTCTTATTATCAAACCATGAAGAATTACCATTTCATGTTCTTTGTATTACAGTCTGTACAACTGCATAATGAAAAGGTAGATCTAGAAAGAAACAAATTGTTTTTTCCATCCTCCACAGAAAATAATATCCAGATCCAAATACATGCTATTTTACCTGATTGCAAAAAAAACCCAACAAACTGTAGTTTAAAAAATTTCCTCTGACATTTTTCATCATTAGTTTTCAACGGGCACATTGGGTTTCTGTTTTACATACAGATAAATGTTCACCTCTGTTCAGCAATGAAAAATATCTCCAAAATAATACAAAATGAATCCTCAATGGTACTTTCATGAATCACATGAAACTGTGTGCATAGAACAGTATTTTCTGGGATGTCAGAATCTCATTTTGAATGCAAGACACTGAAGCGGATTCTGTCACACTCCAGCATGAGACTGGTCTTTCAGAAGAACCTCAGCCCTAAACAAGGCAACTACCAAGAAAACAAATATTTTTTTCTGCTCTATCTATAAAAAAATAAAAAAAAGTGAAACTTTTAGCTTGAAGGGCCTCAAGCAGAAAAAGAATCACAATAATATTTTGTAATATTTTGCACAGTCATTCACTGAAGGGTCTATAAAACAGTTGCTCATGTGAGAGAATCAAATGGTAAATGAAACTAAGGTACCTTTGGAGGGCAATGCCAACACAGCTTCCCTGCCTTGGTGACTAACCTTTCTAGACTTCATGTTTCAGATTAATCAGAAAATCTGGAAGTACAGGAATGTAGAATTTGGACAGTGCTTTGACCCCAAACCTTCCTAGTACTGAAGGTGGTGATGTCCTAAGATCCTGATTTAGAGCCAACACAATTTATATCTCTGTCTTGAGATCAGACTTGTTGATTTAACCACACTGTTACTGTTACTGAACTGGTCCAGAACTGATAGATTCCTGTAATTTCCTGTATGAGATACATATTTATTCATCAATAAGTTATATAGAGCTTTGCCTGAGTGAGATGTTATCCTTTCTCCTTAAACAGTTTCCTTCTCCTTCTTGGTGTTTCTCTTGCTCACTCTTATCCCTTTACATTGTTTAATTAAATTAATTTTAAATAAATAAAGGTGTTTTAATTAAATCCCATTAAGAAGAGCAAATACATCCTATCTCATCTCTCCTTTTTTTTTATTGTGTTAAACTAAACAAAGCTTTGCTCGTCCCACAGTACATTTCCCACTCACTTTTCAAACTTGCAGTCTTTTACTGAATGTTAATTTTCCTTCATTTTGTAGGACCAGGAATGAAACTTTTGCAGATAAAAAAGACCATTATTACATTACTTCCACAGCTGTGGGAGCTTCACTGGGCACAACTGAGTAGGAAACAAGGTACACTTTTTGTACAGCAACATTTACCCTACTGAGCACTGGAAAAAAAGGAAGCTGGAAGTGGAAAGAGTGAGATCTGCAATTTGATCACTATCAGGGGAAAACATCTTACAAATAAAGCAGGAGAAGACTATTTATGTTCAAGTAAATGTTTCAAATAAAAGGTGCAACCATTTCCTCAAAAAGTTGCCAAGAGAAATTTTCATCCTTCAGTTCTCCTTGCTCTGCGATCACCTTCTCCTTCCATCTGCAGTGTGACAAATATGTATGAGCACATGTGCAAGTGCTTGCATTTGTCATTGTCTGTGGGCTTTCAGAAAATGCTTTTGCTTAATGCAAGCATTGGATCTTTGTGTAAAGGCAAGACAATGTTTAGTGCTGAGCATTCTGCTGCATTATTTGCATGTTGGATTTTATTCAGAATCACATTTTGTATCTTCCAACATAGCTAACAATTTCAATTCTTTGTTTTGCAAACTAAGTCCACTAAGTCATTATATCATCTTTCTATCAAAACTTCTGTGCTCTCCTACTTGAAACAATCTTGTTTCTCCTAAGCCAGACTTTGCAGCAGCCTTTTAGTTATTTTGGGTGTTCTGATCCCTGATACAATCTGTCTTCAAATTCCATGAGTCTCAAAGGCATTAATCCAACCTCACTAACTCCTATGGAACTGCTTTGGGTTTTATTCTGACAATGAAGCATTATTTAAGTCTCTACAGTGCAGTCTGATTAGTTTTGTTCACTTTCTGTAAGCTGAACAAAAAATCTAAGGTGTTACTGAGCTCAATATTTTAAAACAATACCCAAAACCTATTGTTCTTTTCAGCTAAATCTACTTATTTGAACCCTTTCAAATTATCTGCACCACATAGAATTACAATGAAATTTAAAATCACACTTCTATTTTGGTAACATCTTTGCTAATGTTTATTTTTTTACTAATTTTTTTTTCTCCCTGCAATTGCTTCATTCCAAGTGCTCTGATTAAAAATAATCAAATAAGAAGTAGCAGTTTTGGCTCTAATTGGAAGGGACTGCTTGACACTACAGCTGCTGTGCTGGATGTTGGAGGAAGAAGTTTGAGAGAGGAGGATGTGGGCACAGGTTCAGTTCAGTGTCCCTGCACCACAGTTCCAGTCCTCCAGCCCCACTGTCTGCTCTGAGGCAGCTGGGGGAGGACCTCTGCCACTTCCCAACATCTCCCACCACTCTGTACATGCTCCTAATGCAAGATGCACCCTTCTGGAACAGCCCTACCTCCTGGGACGTGTGGCTGTGTGCAGCAGAGGGTCAGGGAACACAGAAGGGTACATGGAATATGTTTAGAGGCCATTTACTGTCTGTTAGAATGAAAAAACTCTTGAAGTGGGAGGCCAGATGATGGGATCATAGTGCACAATTGCTTTCTCTGTAGAGCCCAATGAAAAGAAATCTTTCCAGAAAAAAAATAGAGCCATTTTCTTAGGTTACCTGCCAAGTCACAACAGTAAGATATTCATATATCAATGCACAAGGCATCCCATTGAATCAGCTCCTCTGCTAGAAAAATTCAGCCCAAATGACACTTTGGTGGATATGTATCTCTGCTGAAGGAATCTCCAGGTGTGCTCAACACCTTGCCCAGGCTGCACCCTCTGAAGCCATGACAGTTACCATGGCAGCCACGAAAAGAAATGTTGCAGGACCCAGAAAGGTAGTCTGAAATGCCTGAGGAATGTCATTTAGCACACAATAGTAATCTCCTTCAGAATTCAGCCAGGATTTCTCTGCTACAGCCCATTTTTTATTCTTTTTATGGACCTTGAACTAGAAGACAATATTTTCTGTATTTTGTTTGATTGATTTGAATACTTTTTTCCCTTGTCCAGAGGATTCTCACTACCATTTTAAAGGTAAGCAAAACCCTTGCTCTTGATATCACAAGTTACAGGGGAATAAAAAAGTAACCCACTGGTGTTCTCACAGGCTTTCTCTGTGTCTCTGTGTCACACCTCAAACACTACAGGTTTTGAATTGCATTCTGCCGAGACAGAAAGCTTCTATCCTGTCCACAATGTGTATTTGTGAAACTCTGACCCTGCTCTAATCTCAAATGTTCCTTCCTGCACTAATCCTGTTTGCTGTCTCTCGCCTTGCGGTGCCCTTGCACAGGAGGCTCAGGAGGGCCAAGCGAGCACACCTGGCACAGCAGAGAGGTGTTGCATAAGTGCTGAGAGGCTCTGAGGACCAGCAGCTGTTGGTTTTGAAGCTGCTGGAGATCCCTGTGACACTTAATGTGCACTTTATCAGATGAGCATCCTGAAATGAGGAAGGACAGATGCAGCACAGAAAACTTGATGCTGTAAATGGAGAGATCAAGGCTTTATTGGTAACTCTTCCTATATATTATGTTTAGATGTGGTTCCAATTCCTCACCAGCTGTTCTTGTTTGTATAAATTACAAAATTTTTAATGATAACTCTCACCATTTGTTTGTGCAATGCACAGATCATACAGATGGGCCTTGACTTTGGGAAAGTCTCTGTGACTGCAATTCAAAAACAAAAGTGCACATTTCAAAATGGCATTTCAGCAATCTCTGTCCCTGTTGCATTTTCTCCCAAACTATGAAGGGATTTCGGTGTAGGGACACTGAACACTCTTGAATGATATTTCCCACAGAGAATCCAACCTCACTGATACCCAGCAAATATTGAGCAGGCACAAACACATTCAAATGTGTGGCCTGTTACGCATCCCTGTTTCTGTTGAAGGATTTGTGTTACTCAAGTTGAATGCATCTTATTGCAGGGCTGTCAATCATTCTGGTATTTGCCAGACCGCTTAAATCTCACATCCTGCTTTGTAGTTAGGTATGAAAAAACTGTTCAGAACTGCTCATGTGATGTAGGAGATGAAAAGCAATAATATGCAGCCACATGACTTGCCAGAGCTACGCTGGTATCCTTGCACTACACTGCACTGGCAGAGGAGGATACCAGCTTCCATCTGGGAACATCACACGTAGTGCTGGCTTGTGGAAACAGCTCTTTTCTAAGTCACTTAAGTGCTTTTTAATTTCTTGGCAGCAGTGTGTGAAGAATTTTCTGGGTTACAGCTAATTTCATTTCAAGAAAATGCAAACTTCTATTTCAAATAATATGAAAAAAAAGACAAATTATCACCGAGGGAAAATTAAGAGAAAAATAAGCAGCAATAATGGGAGAAACCACAAGCACATGTGCTTGGCTAAGATGTACATACTTTAACTGAAATACACAGTCAGCATTTCAGAAAGTCATTATTTTTTCTTTTGGAGAAAAAAAAAAAGGCGAAACAAAATACATGGGAAGTATTCCTTTTTTTCTTATGGAAAACTGTATAGATTGTCAAGAGTTAAATCTTGGGCAAAAGCAATCCTAGGTAAAAGTAAAACATCACCTAACAAGCAGAATCTTCCAGCAGCAGGGAGCAAGTGAGTTGGAGAAGTGGTGAGGAGAGCAGAGGAGAAAACATGAGTCCTGTGCAAGTCAATTCTTCCTACAAAAATAGAAGCAGCAGAAGGAACAAATTAGCAGGGTTTTTTTAGAAACAACACAGAGCAGTTAAAAAGCAGTATGATGTAATTGGGGTCATGGAAATTTGGCTTGTGCAGGAGACTGGCTAAGATACCAAACTGAAAAATAAAAGGAGACTCACAAGGATTGAAAGCAAATTCTGGAAAAAGAAGACTCAATACCTAAACTTCATATTGCAGAGTAGATAATGAACAGAAAACACATTTTCATGCTAATTATAGAGGTTTGGAAGTGAAAGACAGAAGGATTAGATGTTGGGATTCCATAATAACCCCATGTCCTAAAAGGCAAAATATGCTATATCCCATGTACTCAGCCCCAGTGGAACTTCTCTGCAGCCTGCCTGGGAGCACCCACAGCCCATTTGCCCTGCTGGGAATGGAGAGATGAACAAGAGAGAGCAGAAAGCTGCCTGAGATATTACAGAGAATGCTCCTTTGTGATCAGACACCTTGGATCAACCTATGGCTGTTGTATTTGGGGTTTTTTCCATTTCTGTTGCATTCCCTATGGTTTTTAGGACCTGATACAGAGGATATTTTAAAAGTTCTCCTCTTTCAAGATATTAATGGGAAAAATTATTAACTTATTTCTGCAAGGATGATAAGAAGATAGCAGAGGTGTGGGTGAGGAGGTGTTGCCAACTGTCCAGCAATTGCTGAAGGAAATATGTGTAGTGGGACAGCTAATCTCTGACAGATTGCTCATCCAGCATGATGCAAAGAGCCTGCCCCTGGCAGGGATCAATGAACAGCAGAATCTGGCAACACTCTTCTGTTTGCAATACAAATCTGAATTCATGGCTTCAGAAAAGACTGAAATTCCTAAGGGCTGACATTCCAGACACAGTGAAATTGAAAAATATCACTACTGTGATGGGCCAAAGACAGGTAAAAATGCAAGAGTGAGGAGACTGAATCTTGGAAGACCTCTTTGAAGGCTAGAAATGACCTGTCTTAGAAACAAAACTGCTCTGAACCTCTGAACTTCTGCATCTTCTGGGCCAAACAATTCTAACATCTGCATAAAGATCCAAATGTCATCTTTGCATGAACTGCTTGAAAGTCTCACACACACCTTTCACTCTATTTTCAGAAACGCCTTCCTTCCATCTTAACTATTAATTACAGTGGATTCATCAGTTACCAACCTCAGGCAGAACGTCATTAATCAGCAGCTAAATATGATAGAATAAGGTACCCACAGTGTCTCAGCATCTGCCTTTATTGTCCATGTGTTAAAATCTTTATTAAATATTAATGAAGTTTCTTGAAACTGCTCCTGCAATGAGGCCTTTTCAAAGGAAACACACACCTGATAAAGTGTTTCTGTTCAAGTATTTACAAGTGGCTTTTGCTTCCGCTGTTGAGAATCAGTAAAATAGCTGCAATTTGTGCCACATCTTTCTTCATGCCAGCTACAGCTGATTCCAGCAAAGTATCTAAGCATGCAGCCTGGTATAATTCTTCCAATTAATTAATATAAAGGGAAATTTATACCAGAGAGATAATGAATAAGAAAAAAAAAATCAAAACAAAACAAGCCTCAGGTAAAACTCTACAGACAATTTTATTCTTTCCTTCAGACTCGTCCCTTTTCCTTGAGCTTTGTCCTCTCCCCTGCTTTGATGAGCAGATATGCAGACTTTAGGCTCAGGTTTATACTCAGGTTTATTATTAAGGTACTTTCAGAATACAAACATCCAGCTTTTTCCAGTTCTGTAAAGTATGCTTAAAATTGACTTTCTGGTCATTTCTTCAAAGGTCTCCTTCTGGCTTCAATATCACAAAGCTCTAGACCTTCAAATGTACTTGTCTCCACACTTCTAAAGATCTCCAGAGCATTTCATCCTATTCCCATCCTTTTCATTCTTTAAATTTTTTATATTTATAACTGTGTTTAACTATGAACAATCTAGTAAGTACCTTGAAATCCTTGCCTTTATTTAATGTTAATCAAAGATACCACTAAAATAAGTTGCAATAGTTACAATGATTTAGAGAACCTTAGGCACCAAAACAGTTTAAATAAATTGACACAGCACTCAGAAATATGCTAGAGTGATGAATTATTTCTAATCCATTAATATTGCAAACTCATTTTACCATTTCAAGGCCATTTTTATGTGGATTCAGGGCTTATATTCTAATGTTATTTATTTGAAATAGCAAATAGAGGCAAACTCAACTAGTGAACATTTACGCTTCCTTAAGATTCCATTTTTCCACTCTGTCTGCCTGGGCTCTTTAAAGTGCAATATTTTATTATAAAATATTTATATTCTATCAACCAGCTACTTGGCACACACAAACTATCACACTTACTGATTTAACTGAGAGGTGACATTCTGTAACCATTGAAGTACTAGGTACATATTTTGGAGGGATTATTATGCAATTCTTGTTTGCATAATTTGGCCCTATTTTAAGCCTGGGTATTTAACAATAGTTGGTTGTAATTTTTCAAATATTCATGCAAGAAAACTATTAGTCTGATATAGGTGGACAGGATTTCAGATATGGAAAAATTTGGCTTATTTGGTCTGCTGGAAGTGGGGTTAACTGCCATGTGTATAGAGAGTGGGGATGGTGGGAAGAGAAGGAAAGATAAATACCAAGAAAAAGGGAGAAGTTCTTAGCACCTCTGAAATGAAGAAAGAAAATGACCATTTCTAGAATTCAGGGATGCTAAACATGATGGAAAACATGGAAAACCATGATGTGCCATAAGAGCAGTACCTCTATAGAGTTCAAGACTTTAACCATCTGGTTGGAGTTAGAGTCCTTGGATCATCTTTTGGCAGTGTATTATTGCTCTCCCTCTGGGGCTGAGGGCTCCTGGTTTATCTTTTTATTCCCATGCTCAGCTGTTGCTGGCTTTCACTGGCACATCATTGCTGAGGGTGGAGCTTTATCCTCCCTAAAGTGTGTGCTCAGCATCTGTGAAATCTGGTAGCTCTGCTGTGCAGGACAGTCAGGGAGAGTTGTTTTGTACCTGATGTTCAGAAATGTTAATAAAATAAAGCGTGTCTGCTCAAATTCTTAGCGTTGTACGTCCATTTTACTAACAGTTTATTTATTCAATTGGCTCAGTGATTAATACAGCACAAGTAAAAGACCTTTGGAATAATAACTGATGCTCCCAAATGACTACTCTACACAAACTGTATATTTTAATTTGATCTCATTTTTAGTTTGGAAATTAGGGAGCAAGACATTTTAAAATGTTGCGTGACTGCTAGATTTCTTTTCCCACAATAAGTGGTGTCCATCTGAGTGCAAATTTGAAAGACAGATAAAAGTCTGAAGCTCTTAAACACATTCTGGAAATCAGCAGCTGTACAGGAAAGAAACAAATTAGTGCTCTAACAGAGGGAAAGACAGGATTCAGCCATTATACACTTCTCTTTGGCAGCTGCATGTTAACTGCAGCAAGTGCTATTTCCTGCCAGTGTGATCATCACAGGACACTTGGGAAGGAACTGGGAGAAATGCAGTCAGAAGAGGGGACTTAGGACAAAAAGGACATAAATCCATAGGAAGCCAGACCTCGTTAATTTCCCTCTCTTAACAACTAATTCTTGCATTATAAATGCAAATTTATATATGTGTATACATTTACTACACACATAAATGAGTAGTAAAAATAGAAATTTGCTGAAACATTGAGAGGTGCATATTTTACCTCTTTTTTTTCCTTCCTTGTTCACAGAACTGAACTTACATGTGTACACCTCCACACCCCATCTCATTCATTAATGAGATCTTGAACCTATTCAGTGAGAGATTTATCAAGGAAAGATTGCATCAGGAAAACCAGCAGGTGAACTGCTTATCAAGAACACTGAGCAGTAAATATTTCTCAGGGTACAAGGATTAAACCACATGGATATTTCCTTTCTGAGAGGGGATATCAGATTTTTGAGATTAATAACAGTAATGAGGAAAAGGACAAAGATGAATTTCAGAAAGGAGGATGTGAGGAACAGGAGAGAGGGAGGAAGGAAGGGAGAGAATGAGGGAAAGAAGGAAAGAGAGGAAAGTGAGAAAGAGAAAGAGCAGAAAGAAAGAAAATAGGATATTGATTAAAAAAAAAAAAGAAAATGAGATTACCAATGACAAAGAAGTGTTTTGGTTTTTCTCTCAATATTTTCTCAAGAAACTCTTAAAAGGTGGGGGGAAGGAAATAATGTGTTTCCTTGTTTAGCTTTGGAACTACTGCTGTCAGGCTCTGGAATGTGGAAGATGGAAAGGGACAGCAGTGCTATGGGCAGGGAAGGTGTGAGGGGAGGGGAGAAGCACATTTTGATAATGAACTTCTAGGCTGGCAGCAAATCATTGTTGCTGGAAATTCAGAATACTATCCAAAATAAGTAAAAAGTATTCTGGGCAACAGATTATTTCAGTATTTGATGGTACCAACAGCTCCTACCAAGATAAAGAAACAAATTGTATTTTTAAACTGAAGTCACAGGATAAGTGTTAAGACTTTAAAGGATCTGTAGTGCAGTCTGAGCTATAAAATGCTGCTGTAACAGTCGGTTGTAAATCTCCTTGACAGTTACGTCTGCAGTTCTAAAACTGAACTACTGAAACAGTGATACAATAATAATAAAGCAATGCAACATAAGTCCTGGATGTACTAGATTTATGAATAGGATATTCTTTCTCGAAAAGGGCAAGGAAATCCCAATTAGCTAGGGAAAAAAGATTAAGAGAATTTTGTCAGTATCACCAATGTGACTATCACAATGAATTATGCATTCCTTAAACTAATCTGATTCTTCAGTAATGCCATGTTAAAAAAAAATTACACTCAAAATTTACACTTTGTTTCTGTATTTTGGTGTAGCAAAGGAGATCACTATTAATATTTCACAGGAACAAGGAAGAAATGGAGAGGAAAAAAAATAGGAAGAGCTGTCTTCAAACAGCCTGATCAATACCAAATATCAATAGGGCT